TCATCATTCTAGTAAAAATGGCATGTATCTGCTCCGTCAGATATATGTTTTTTATGCATATATCATGTATATATATATATATATATCATGCATATATACATATATTATGCAAATCAAAACCGATTACCATTTTAAAAGATAAGACTAGCCAACTTGGCTGAAGAACTACGTTGACTTCAGTCGTAGCAGCCAAAACCCAGAAAACAAAGCAAAATGAGGAAAAATGTTGCTTCAACATTTAAAGTATTACAATAACTTCTGCATTTTAACACACTGAAACATTAAATTCTGTAGCTACACAGAACGAAGAAAGCCGGCCGCCATTGCATACCAAGATGGCGGATCTAATAATTCCCGCTTCATTCTGATTGGTTGCTTAGCTGAAGGCCACATTTACGAAATTGAGTTGAGTTTAATAGCAGCTTATTATGCTTATTAATTTTGTTTCATTCTCCAAAAATCATACGGTTAGAACTTAAAGCTTCAACGGCCTATCGGAGCACAAAGTTTAAGCAAACCAACTAGGAGGAATAATATGCTGTAAGTGAAATAGCATTGTCTTGTTATTTGGCCTAGGAAGACGAGCGTTCTATTAGTGTTCTAATAGAAGTCCCTGTATAATTCCAGAGATCACTATATTGAGCGGAGGCTTATGAGTCGTATCACTCCTTTTGCATATCCAGTAGCATGTTTTATGCACTGGTTGGATTTATAAGGAAATATCAATTTTCATTGCGTCAGATATTATTACAATAAATGCATCTGAAGCCTACAGCAAACTAGCTCTCCTTCTAAATGCTAGTCATACAACCACCGTTTTGATACATATCGCCATGATTATTAAAACATCTTGACAATAATAACAGTTTATGCTCAGATAACTGTTGAGATATTCAGAAAAATATCCCCAAAAAAATATCCTGTTAAGTTTAATGCTATCCTTGAACGTGAAGTAGTGTCATTTTCCTGTTGGTCAATGTTCACAACAGTCCTAACTGTATAAATATTCATTTGTCTGTAAAGTATTATTCTTATTCCTATCCTTATTCTTCTCCTGACCCCATGAGCAATTTCATCTACGGTTCGTGTTCTGATATATCGGATATTGGGTAACAGTATTGAGGTCGTACTGGGATATCTGAAGTTAGTCGGTCGGTAGAAGCTAGAGTAGCCACCCCGCGTTCCACAATAGTAACAATACATTAAACGAGGAATTTTAGTTTGTTGGTAAGATCACTATGTCAAAAGTGGTGCAAGATTTGCTACCACTTGTTATCCATTTAGGCCAACATGTTACGAGATAGATTCATCATAGAAAAAAGTAAACAAATTTCAGCGCATAAAAATATGATTGTCCGTAGTAAAACTAGGATGCGCATTATAAAGTTTGGCGTTATGCGACAAACAACTGTTTATCGAGAAATAATGCGGATCAGATTTACAATTGTCTACAACAGTTGGAAATACTAATTATATCTAATTTCTTGACGTTCCTTATTAGTAATCGCCAGTCAGCAAATGTGACAGGCGTCGAGAAGGAAGAACTGTTAATCCTTCTGATGTATCATTTTCATAGAGTCGGGAGTAGAAGTGGGTCATATGTTTCGTATATCTGGATTTGGTGGGACTGATAAAGAAAAGACAGAAATGGATAAGCCGTAGAGCGGAAAATTTTTCTGACTACTGAAGTTAAACCACTTGTGATAAGAACATTAAAGCATAAGTAACTAGATTTGTTTCCTGTTGTTAGATAGACAGTTAAGCAAGTATATTTTTGTGAATGAAAGAAGTCAAGCGATCGGCATGGTAACAAATGAATACAAGACTATACGAATTGAGATGAATCAGAAGATTGAAGGCAGTTTGAGACTATGCTTGCCTCTAAGATGAAGTAAAGGTGATACAGTGTTTTAATGCGAATGAGTTTCTAGTTCTCTTAGAGAGAGTATGGTTTCTTTTATTCACCTTTAGCTATCCCCTTCGTTCTGACCTGAAGGTCCACTTCGAGGTTTGTTGGCTAAATAGAAATTCAGTTTGAGGTTACAAATATTTGTCACACAAGACGTTTAAACAGGAAAGCGACATCAGTATCATAGATTAGTCACTTTGGACCAAACAACAAGGAGCCGTAGACAGACATAGTGCTTTGCTCTGTATACATTGGCGGACTAAAGTTATTTCTCCACCATCATTTTCGCCTGTCAGAAACGACGCAATCCCTGGTTTTGTAACGTTAGGCTCTCTTACGGTTGCAGTTAACTAACTGTACCAATTGTAAGATACCAATCTGGATAGATGATTTATCAAAAATCATGAAAGAAAGCCGTTTATGATTGTAAATGCTACGATAAGAAGTTAAGTGATTAGTAGGATAAATAAGTTGAACGCTAACGGACTTGAGATACCAAAATTGCTAAGCATTAGAAGATAAACTAGGAGAAACTCACGATAATTCAGGGTACGTACATAAAAGCAAATAATGGAACTTCAAGCATCTAGAAAACAAAATTGATGAAAGGAGTGATAGCGTAAAGAGGTGGTGTGTCATAATTGGTGAGTGGAGGCGCTCTCTGTGTGTCATCACTTGGTCCTTCACGTCTAATGACAGTGAATGTTAAAGTCCCTTGAGGTTCATTGGGCGATCTGGAAGTAGTTAACAAAGCTCCCTAGAGTCTGTGAACAAAGTTGTTTAAAGTTGATGATAATGGACAGATGGTGATACGTAATGGCAATTATTAACCATTCCTCTCACCTTACTTTGTGTTAGGGAAACCTTTGACTGTATAGCACAGGCTGAACCCTTTGTACCTTATGTTAAGCAAGTGTTCGTTTTGTCTCTTCATTTATAGTCTGTTAGACTATGGAATGACGTATGCATATGTGTATATAAACTAACGGGTATACATTATTCAATCAAAATGTGAGAATGTAGTAGACGCTCTTATAGTGATGACGGGAAAGTACGAACATATTGAGTCATCTAGTATGGCTATTTCTTTAATAAATATTGTCATAACTTACTGTTTTATTATAAAATCTAGGCTATGTCTAGACCAAGAATATATGGTTCGATATAAATATTGGATGCAGCTTGATTACATAAAATATAGTCTTGCAATTTCTTTAACTGCCTTTAATATATGCGTCTTATTCACACTCAGGTCTGTGAATCCTTTCCAAACTTCAGAAAAGTTTCTTAACTATTGCGCAGCATAGTTCATCATGTAGACTGTAAAACGTGAATATAAAAATGTCTCGAAAATAGGGGATTTTGCAAAGTTTCCGTTTCAGACGTTTTTTAATACGACGATCCTAAAGTCAGTCTAATCACTATATATGTGTTGAAGGGCTTGTGACCTAGGCTGACTAATTAATGCAAGAAACGCGCAACACAACGGACTCAAAAGCTATTTGATGCGGATGCTTGATCAGGCTCTTTCAGACAAAACCATGTTCGAACAAGTCTGTAAAGTCAACAGACATGTCGAAGACTTACAAAATTATTTACTACCACAAATTTCAATCACTTGCATCCATGAGGTTGATAAGAATCCAACGTTCGTAGTTAAAGTGGCTATCTTATGGCGCGCTGGGTTTAAATGTAACATAAGAAGTTATGTTCTATAATTCCAGAACTAAATGTGTCTGCTTGTAAACCAAACACACAATCGTCAATAACTACAACGTAGAGGACGTACAATTTCCTTCACTCCCATCGAAAATTAATCCAAAGGCAATAGTAAGCCGAGACACTAAGATCACAACACACTGTTATCGAGGCCCCCAAATGCCCTGGTACGGCCGAGCGTGGGGAGAGTCCGCTCTCCCTCTCGAAATGCTCTCACATGGCCATGCGTATATAGCCTCTGCCAGGGAAGTCCTACTCACTGCATTCTCGTGGCGGGGGTGTTGTTTACGAAAATGAGAGGACGAAAAGCGAATGTCTGGCGCTTTAACCGGATTCCAAACCAATGATGCACATGGGCTACAGTATCCTGCGGGAACAAATGGAGTATAAACCAATCGTTGGTCACTGGCTACCATGGGACTGCATCTCCTCACGATGCTCCACTGCCTTGTGGGTCAGACCCTTAGGTCAAAGGCTCGGGGTGTGGCCCCCTAAGAAAACCACCAGCTTCGGTTTGAGCACCCGGGCAGTATCACAGCCTTCACACATCGAATGAGATTTGTGTGGCGCATATGTATTTGGTACTTCCTTGTACCAATATCTATGTGTTAAAATAAATAAATAAATAATCAATAAAGGATTTGGGACTATAATGATGTTAAGGCCAGCTTTCATCCAGTCAGATACGAATATGTTGCCCATGATTTACTCAATAGATGCCTAACTTAGAAAATTGTGTAAGCCGCAAACTCCTGTTTAAAAGGTAGCTTTCATTCTTTGAGTAAGTACAAAGAACAAATATCCTCACAATTACGTAGCTGCTTGTCTCTCCATGTTAGAACAATTAACTTTACCAATGATCAAAAGGTTGTTTGATTTTCGTGTGTACGATACTATGAAATGTCTTTGAGAAAAGCCTATTCGCTTTTGTCCTATGAACCAAGTCAGAAGGGCTCTAAGTACACAGCGTTGATGTCTAAAAGCCAAGAATAAACAAAATCTCTATGGGAACAGTTTTCTATCAATTCTTGCAACATACTACTGGAAAAAGTAATGGCTACATCTCCCATTAAATCACTCAAGCGAACTTCAGACACCAGTGGGGGCCCTGTAGGAAGGAACTGACACAGGTCCTAGGCTTACCGTCCTCAAAATAAAAATATTTTAATCTCAACTCAGCTGAAAAATTCTAACATGAGGATATGTTCAAAAAGAAATCAGATGGTTCATATAATCTCTTTAACTTCACAGGTTATTGCATGCTCCCTTTATAGATACAGTGCTACTAAATGGCCAAAGTAACAGTTGTCTTTCATTTCTTTGTATTAACGCTCATGACCTCTGATTGTGAATTGACTCGTGCGCTACAGTTATGAGCAAAGTCTCCGGGTTCTTTAAGAAGACGGGTTTTAGCTCATGCAAGTTCACTTGGTTCATTAGTACTAAATAATAGGTTTGGTGGCGTGTTTCTACAGTGCACGTGTCAATAGTGAACATTATTTCGTACAATTCAGAAGACGCGGAGTGTTACAAATTTGTGCTACATTCTATGTTAAATAAGAGTTGAGGGTCTACCTCAATGACTAAGTCCTGAGAGATAAATACTTTGTTTCGTTGTGCATTCTTCTTTCTATAGCCAGAAAATAGATATTATCTGTCCCATAGGTCGTCTAATGTGGAACACCAAAATGAGACTTATATCCGCGCTGTGATTTCATCTACAAAATTAGTAGAATCAGTGCGTCAAACTTTAATATTCCTGCTTGTCATAGTAATCTAGGTGGCCTTCTAAAGCATCACTACGTACTTTTAGTTGAGTAAAAAGTCCCTCATCGTTTTTTTTGCCAGTGTCCGGAAAACCTTTGAAAATAAAATGTTGATGGTTTGCAAGTGTATGGTCTTAGGAAATCTAAATCTAGTGCTCTGTCTGACCACAACTTAGAATTAACGAGGTCAGCTTAATGCAATAGTTAGCGCATGTTGTAATAGTGCCAACCACTTTGGAGTGAGCATTTCCCATATTTTGGTTCCTTTGTCGTATGTCTTATAACATTTATGCTGCTAATCGAGTGGCTAGATAAAACTATGTGATTTTCTTAGGTTACCAAGCCCTCAATTTAAATCTATTCTGAAAGGAGTGGAGCCGTTTTAGACCCTGCATACGTAATAGTAGTCAGTGGATACAATATATTTATCCGTCATGTAGTTTTATTCGAAGTGTTTGAACTTTTCAATCATTTGTATCCTTACTGTAGGCAGACGTGCGTAACTGCTTATTGTAAGCCCCGACATCTACTTTCATCGTTTTGCTTTTATAGGAAAGCTTTCTCACGTCAGAAAAATCTTTTAGTCCATGGTAAATGTGCATTTAGCTCTTCGCAGAAGTAATAGAGCATTTTCTTTTATAGAAAAAGCATATGGGTAGTCGTTTTACTAGTGTAAAACCATGTATTGAAGCATATCCTCTATTATTCGAAGTGAACTTGTGTATCCTTGGACTCCGTGTGAGATCCAAAATACTGGTCTTGAATAAGAGTAGTGGTTGTTTTGAACTTTGTTTAATTTTGTACGTGGTAGCGTCACAGAATTTAAGCTCTTCGAGGGCCTATGTACTTGTTGCTGTGTTTGTCTGACAATTAGCCTACTACTCATTAGTTTGTATTCTTGTCTTGTGTCGTAAGGTAATTTGTGGATATATCGTATTTCCCTTTGGATGGTTTAGGTAGTCGTTTCTTCACAACCACTTCTGGATGCTTGGTAGAGGAGCCCATTGTTCTAAGCAAATTGAAACGGGGGACTGGTGGGAGAGCCTCATTTAATGGCATGACCGTGACCGTGTTTGGTGGGACTGGATATTTAGGCCGGAATTTAATGGCACAGCTCGCCAAAACTGGAACACAGATTATCCTTCCATACAGATGTGATCCTCATATGATCAGAGATGTAAAAGTTATTGGGGATCTGGGGCAAGTTTTATTTTTGGTACGTAATTCTTAGGATTTCTATTTTGTGTGCAAACTTGAATGTAATATTCATGTGTATTCAGGAACATTCAATATTTATCTCGAAATTGATTGGATTCTTCCATATACTTATTTTCATCTAGACCCAGTCGCCATGACACCATTTCCTCAATAACAATGTGAATTAAAGGTCTTTTCACCTGAGTATGATGTTCCTTTTGGCGAACTTAATAGATAGATCATCGAGCTGTCGTCCTTAGGTTAAATAATCTAATTGATTTGAAACCTAAACAATCATGTGATGCTGAGTATTTTAAAAGTCAAGTGTACTGTTTATAAGTGCCGTCCAAAGAAATGGATTTTCCATAAAGTTATTCTTGATGTGCATTGTTCCGCTGCCGTATTCGCTGAAAGTGTACTTTATTTTTATCCCTGCCTTATATTATTTCGTCAGTTTTGGGACGAGGATTTCTATATTGTTTGGGAGCATAGGAGTTCATGTGTCGACGATTTTCTTATAAATTTGTGTACATTTATGAAATAAAATAGCATTTCATCCTCATATATGGTTCGAATACTGGAACTAAATCAGTTGTCCAACTTGGAATGGTACTTCAGTTATATGGCCATTGTTTATTGGTTGAACCAGTTATGTTGTATGCTTTAAAACAGTGACAAGCTTACCTAAATGTCTTAAATCTATGTTCAAATGTAGTAACTAGCAGTTTGCTGGTGATTTTTGGAACTTCCTGCTGTTGTGAACATAAAGTGCACAAATCTAAGTTTTCTCGATGCTCAGTTTGTTTATTTTTATGCATAAATTTTGTCCATGATTCTCTCTCTCTCTCTCTCTCTCTCTCTATATATATATATATATATATATATATATATATATATATATGCAGAATTCAGCAATCTCAACTACACCCCCCCCTTTATGATATAAATGTTTTTAGTGCGGCGTTACTATTCTGGAGAACTAATATGATGTTTACATTAAATTTATAGCCTTTTGATTTGAAAGATGATGAATCCTTAAGAAAAGCCATGAAGTATAGTGATGTGGTCATTAATCTAACAGGCACAGATTCTGACACTAGAAACTTTACTATTGAACATGTACACATTGATGCGGCCTCGCGGATTGCAAGGATATCTAAAGAATTAGGAGTTCAGCAACTGGTTCATGTATCTGCACTGTGTCAAAATAAGAATCCTGCGAAATATGTTCGGAAGCCCTCTCGATATATGATATCTAAAGCAATTGGTGAAGAGGAGGTTCTGCGTGAACGCCCAGACGCTACGATTTTCAGACCAGCTGAAATATGGGGACCACATGATCGTTTTTTGTGCTATTTTGCTTCAAGACGTAAGTTTAGTTGCTTCTTTTTAGTACTTTGTTAATTTACTAAAATCACAGTTTATGATTTAAGCGTAGCAGAATGTCTGTTATTAAGTCGCGTAGAAAAGTCGATTTAAATATATTTACGTTCCCTACTCGTTTATTGGTTTCTATTTTCGAGATATATGTATGAGTAAAGGTGTTTTTTCTCAATCCATACAACTATTTGTCTAGCATTAGTGTTTATCTCCTTGACATAGTGATCCAAGCATCACAAGGGTCCTTTTATATTACTGAAAATACCTCGCGCTTGGAATCTCTCTAATTTCGTATCTGTTAATTTTATCAGTTCAAGGGACTGTTATGAAATATTCATCCAAGTAATTAGATGCTTAAAGTCACAATATATATTATATTATAAACTAAAATATGTTTTATCCAGTGATTAAGTTTATAATTGTGCATCTGTTTAGGTTATATACTCGACTCGTAAAGGCTCTTGTGTTATGGAAAATAAATGCCTTGTTTATAGATCAAGTAGCTTTTGCCTCTCGTTTTACAGATCTCAGTTGTGTTATCCATGGAGACTTGTAAGGTCACGCACCAAGAAAACACCATCTGATGTGATCTTAAGCTATTGTATACATATACAGATAGTGATTTTAATAAATACTCGTACAAACAATGAGAATATTTTATTTTCTTAGGGATCATATCTCTCTGTTCGTGCTCCTGTGTACCACTATACTGTGATATATCAAATTCGTGCCCCCAACAAAGTGGATATTCCTGTAATCATTTCATGATATCATTACTTGTACAAAATTTAGGTTAAACTTAACTCGAATTCTCATAAAACTTCATTATGAATGGACAGATTAAGTATATTGTATCGTTAGGACATGAAACCAGGTTATTTACGAGATGGTGATTAATCAGGAAAAAATAAACGCAACTTCAAAGTCAGGAGCAGTGATAAGTAACCTAAAACGTCATTTACTCTAGGCTACCTTTGACCTAATCCAATGTAACAGATGCACTAAAGCTATCCAGTTAGGACGAGTAGATGTATGGTTCATGAAATAGTCTGGTTGCCAACATCTGTCCATCGTTTTGACTCATCGAAGTAACAGGCATAAGAGAGTTGGCTGTCAGTAAGATTATTTCAGAAAAAATGCAATTGAGGTCTCTTGTCAGCTCAATGGATGAGGATGACTGGCAAGTTACTTTTTGGTATAGCCTGACCTCCAGTTACTATTTCTAAATAACGGGGTCAAGGGAACGTCACAACCAATCTCCCGTAACTGTGAGGTATCGTGTTTGGCTGAGTCTCTTAATCAGATTTCAGGGTTTCCTAGAGATGGTGGTCCATCACCAGCTAGAGGCCATGAGCTGCACTGCGTCCTACCCAGTAGGTTATTGACTGAATTTGTAAAAACAATTGGTTAGAACCTTCTCATTATGACCACAAAGAGGTCAGACCGGTGTCTAGAATATGAGCTTCAGTGGACATCTTGAGCTGTCATTTAGAAAATTGAAGAAGCCCGGGAAAGTTTAGGATCTGGGAGTGGGTACACATAAGTGAAGCACGAAGGATTGATTGCTTCTAATCAGTCACTTGCAAAGAACGCAGGGTCCCTAGCACAATTGTCAAGTTACCACAACTGTTTTGTCATCTATATATAATACTCGACAGCTGACCTAAACAGCAATCGTGGCTTCGCAAAGCATCGGTGATCCACCATATATATATGACTTCATCTATACCAAGAACAGTCTGACTTAACGTTGTCGTGCTGGATAAAGAATTATTTTAAGAAAGCTAATTTTTATTTAACACTAGTCAGAGAAACTTTCTATATGGTTAGTCGTTTCACGTTGTAGTGAAATACCTTGTCTCAGTTGAATTTCGCCACAATTGAAAATTGTATGAGACAATTGAATTCACTCATATATTTTATTCACCACTATCTGGAAAGACTTCATATCAGTTGACCCAAGTTAATAAATTTAAACCACATTTAACAAACTAACATAATTGGATATTTGTGTAGTAAATGTTTGTCTCGTGACTTTGTTTATATTCAATAACTTTTGTTCTAATTATTACTTTAAATAAGTTCGGATCATATTGTCCAGTCGAATTTTGTGAATATGGTTTCATTTCCGATGTTTTCTAAACATCCGATCTCCAACTGTTATCAAACTTTGTTCAAATCTCGATAAGTCTTTATAAGTTTATTGGCTAGTTTAAACTGGTTGATTTCATAGTTGGATTTAGAATAGTAAAAATTTCGATTATAAGATAGGAAGTGGAAAGTTATTCAGGATTATTCACACCTTAGTCAGGTGAATGTCAGTGTCATGACTCATGAGATGATGTTCATTTTTATTATTAGCAATAGAATGACCGTAGCTGCTACCTTGACGTGGTGGCCAGGCTTACCTATCGTGATGACGCAACTGAGCTATATTAACTGGAATGTATGTTCCTGTAGGTTCTACCATGCCAGGCAGGTCTATTGGAGAACGGTAAGACTAAAAGCAGCAACTCAAGGTCTGAGGGCGAATTCGTACTGCTGACTGTAGAGGGGTGTGACAGAAGTAAGGTGTTTCCCTCGGACAACCAGCATCTGCAGCGATGCTGCCTTCTCACAAGGAAGGAAGGGGTTAGAAAAGGCCGGCCCTAAAAATGTCACATCTCACCTTATCTGACAGATCTCCGTCTCCGGTGGTAAGGCCCTTTGAAGAACGGAGCTAACACGTTAAAAACTTCACACACAAAAAGTCCGTGTGTGACCGACCTCAAGCAGTTGTCCCTTGGGTCCTAATCTACCTGCTTTTTCAGGTTCCTCGAAATATACTTTTCCACGGTGTGGGCAATAGGGAAGTGATATCAGCCCTCATACTCGTAACAGCACACAAGACGAAGTTGGTCGCAATCAAATCTTTCCTACACCTAATAACTCTCTTATCTCCACGACTAACCCTTCTCACCTCGCGCCGCTAATTCAAACGATTTGAGTACGCGGAACGTTATTCCCAGTCTCCTGAAACCACGCTGTTAACTACATGTAGGAGCTTTTAACGTCCGAACACTGTGCCAAATAGGACAACAGGCTGCCTTAGCTAGGACTTTAGAATCTCGCGCCATCGATGTGTGCTGCGTCTCCGAAACGCGCATACAGGATCCGAGTAGCGTCATTCATTTGATCTCACCAGATCAAAATAAAGAACCATCTTGATTCGCGCTCCGCGTGTTTGGAAGCCCTGATGCTGCTTCCCGTGGCCTCGCTGGTGGAGGTATAGCATTGAGTCCTAGGGCAAAACTAGCTCTGAGTTCTTAGGTAGAATCTGGGAACTTGACATAATCCCATCTGACTGGTTTCGATCACTGATTGTGCCAGTCTATAAGAAGGGACGAAAGTCCTCTTGTGGCAATCACAGAGGAATCAGTTTGACTAATAGACACACATTCAGACGTCCCACAATAGTAGTATTTCTCGACCTTAAGGCGGCATTCGACTCTGTCGATCGTGAGGTTCTATGGCAGTGTTTGTCACTGAAAGGAGTACCAAAAAAGTACATTACCTTATACAGGCTCTCTACCCGAACACAACTGGCCGAATGAGAGCTTATGGCAAACTGTTAACAGAATTGATTACCTCAAGTGGTGTTCGTCAGGGCTGTCCACTCGCTCCATTCTTGTTCAACTTTGTCGTTGACGTGCTTTCAGAGATAACGCTTTCCTCATCTAAATTTCCAGGGGTTGAACTTCTACCGGGAGATTCACTTGTTGGCTTAAAATATGCCGTTGACATAGTTCTATTTGATGAAGACGCTGACAAAACGCAAAGTCTTCTGACCACCGTAAGAAACAATGCAAACACGTTCGGGATGCGATTCTCCCCCTCGAAATGCAAAATGTTACTTCAGGATTGGGTTGCATTGACACCCGAACTAATGATAGGGAGTGAAGTAGTTGAGTGTGTCGACCACTCCACTTGTCTTGGGAGTCACATCTGCCTTTGTGGTTTAGTGTGTGACGAAATCTCAGCACAGATACAGAAGACTCGACTGGCTTTTACCAACTTGCGCCATTTATGGCGTAGGCGGTATATCCGTCTATCAACCAAAGGACGGGTTCACTGCGCAGCAGTGTGTTCCGTCCTACTTTATAGCTGTGAAACGTGGCCTGTAAGAGTCAGAGATATTCTCCCATTTTCGAACAACGAGAAGCGTATTACGCTCATATGATTTTGAGATGGTGGAGAAGATTTGTAGCTCAGGTGGATGATTGTGGTGGAGTTTTGTTCTCTGAGCTGGATTGTTTGGCCGTGGGGCTTTCATCGTTCTTCTGAACGACATCAGCACAAACTTCAGATAGAAGTGAAGTGTTTGAATTTCTCCATATGTGTCTCAAAGCTTGTTCTGTGCACCTCGACGTTGATTGGTTCTTATTGACCTTAAATTTGTCGTTGTTTACTTCTTTGTTTTGGTTGTGTCTCCCATTGTTTTGATTTTTGTTCTTATGTTTGTGCATGATTTTTCTGATTGGTTGATAAATTGGATTGATTTCAATATGCTTGTTGATTGCTAATTGACCTGAGTGCCAGGCTTCTAAAAATTCTCTGGTGTTTTTGGAGTTTCCTCTGTCTAAGATTTCCACATTTTTCCAATCGAATGAGTGTCCGCAGTTGTCCACGTGTATTGATATAAGTGAAGAGTTATCATGCTGTTTGACTGCTAATTGATGTTCATGTAGGCGAAGGTGAAGGGGGTGTCCGCTTTGTCCGATGTAGTGTTTTTCGCAGTTGGCACAATTTATTTTGTAGATGATGTTTGATTTGTTTTCCTTTGTTATTTCATCTTTTGGTTTGCATAAGATTGATTGTAGTGATTTTGTCGGTTTGTGTGCCACACCTATTCCGAAGGTTTTTAGCAGTCTCGTCGCTGTTTCTGATATTCCTTGTATATATGGTAGGGTGATCCTTTTGTTGATTTTTGTGCTTGACTTGAGTTCTAATGTTGCGTGCGGTTGGTATTTTTTTGATGAAGTTGGTGGGGTAGCCGTTCTTCTGAAATACATCCTTTAGATATTTCTCTTCATTTCCTCGTGCTGCCAGTGTGCTGCAGTGTGTCCTCGCCCTCTTGAACAAATTGTGTACGCAGTTGATTTTGTGAGCTCTGGGGTTGTTGCTATTGTAGTTGAGAATTTGATCCGTATGGGTCGGTTTCCTATATACCTGAGTTTCCAGTTTTCCTGTGTCGGTTCTAGTGATCAATACATCCGAGAATGCTAGTTGGTTGTTTGACTCCTGTTCCATGGTGAACTTGATGTCGTCGAAGACGTTGTTGATCAGGTTGTAAGTGTTTTCTAGTTCATTCTTTTTGACGATGACGAAGGTGTCGTCTACATAGCGAATCCAAATTTTTGGTTTGATCACTGGTAATATCGCGGCTTCTAGTCTTTGCATCACTGCCTCTGCGATCAATCCTGATATTGGTGATCCCATTGGTGTCCCTTTCGTTTGTTCGTAGATTTTGTTGTTGAATTGAAAGTATGTTGTTAGGCATAAATTGATGAGTTCCTGTAGACTTTGAATTTGAAGCTTCACGACGCTTCGTGAAGCTTCTCGTTGTTCGAAAATGGGAGAATTTCGCTAAAAGGCAGGCTTCCACTCGAGAGTCAGAGATATTCGTAGGTTACTAGTGTTCGATCATAAGTGTCTTCGAAGCACTGCCCGTATATCCTAGGACCACCGCGTAAGTAATGCGGCTGTTAGGAAACAGGTACTAGGTAAGGATGACATATCAACTGATGAAGTAGTGAAACTTCATCAGTTGAGATGGCTGAGACATGTGTTACGTATGCCCAACCACCGACTGCCCCGATGTGCGATGTTTTATGGTGTAGAAGTGGGTTGGAAGAAGGCTAGAGGCGGCCAGACCAAAACATGGCACAAATCCATGAAGTCACTGACAAGTGGGCTGATCTATGTTGGTAGGTGTAGACTACCTGGTTGGGATCCGCGAGACGATAGCAACCGATGGTTATAGACCTTGCATAACATGGCTCAAAACCGTTTGCAATGGCACAGGCGCATCCACTCTTTGTGTTCTTTCAAATTCTAATCTTCTGAATTCGTGATGTCACCTTTTTTTCTCTTTCCAAATTTGTTTCACTGGATTACACTCCATGAATAATATCTTCAAACCCTAATCTTTCCGATTACTGCTTATACTCTTACCACCTCTACCACTATGGGATTTGAATTGACAATTGTATCTCTATGCTAATGCAATGTGGCAACTTGAACTGATATACATATATACGAAGTTCTACGTTGTTGCTGGCTAACTGACGGAAGGATTGTTTATGTTGACTTCCGATGTTTCTGTAAATCGTCCACGTATCAAACTAGCTATCGATCAAAAATTCATATGTTTTCATACACACCTCGTTCTAATTTTGTCAGTTACCACCTAATAACTTTTTATTAATAGTCCTTTTCCACATAATTTAGACCGTGTTAAGCAGCATATTTCCAATCAAAAACACAATAACGCGACCTTTATCTGAAATTCCTAGTAAAATACATTCTACACCATCATAATCGTTCCTTTGTAAACGTAAGTTTCAGTTTAAACGGTGGTATGGCAACTTGAACTGATGTAAGAAGTTCTACGTTGTTGCTGACTGACTGATTAGTGATAGAGTGATTACATGGATTTTTAGTTAATTACCAATCATATTGCCTATCTTATTTTGTGTTTTGTCGTCTGCTAATTTCCTGTCCGCTTTTAACAACGGTTATGGACTTTGGGCGACATAGTTATAAGAGAATATATATTCTTAGTTGTGGTCATATCCTTTAAAACTTGGGGACAAGCCCACGATCCAAGTATCTTTGTGTTTGAATTGAAATCGGTTCTGCACTAGTAACCAAATCACTTTATTTTACTTCGTGGAAAATCCAAACATTTTGTTGCTTGATTGTCATATTTTTATGCCTGAACCTGTATACACTGTTCAAATATATTGTCCAAGTGATCAGAATTCCGAACATATAGTTTTCATATTTAAGTTGACTGTCAGTCAACCTTTTAGAGATCTTTTTCGATTTCAAGATTCGCATCTCAAAAGAAAGGTCAAATTCCCAAACGTGTCTTGTTTTACCTAGCACAGGGTACTTATCGGTATATAGATTTTGCTTTAAAGTTGGTCCTAAATTTATTGATTCTATGGTTTTTCATATTTATGCACTTTGTTCAGCTCGGCGATTCCATAGATTTCAAAATGTTCATATCCCATTATGGGCTCGTGGCAAAAATACCGTAAAGCAACCTGTTTGTATACATGATCTTGCCCGTGGAATTGTCAATTCATTGCATAATCCAGAGTCACTAGGACAGATTTATGAAGCCGTTGGTCCTCATCGTTATCGATTAGATGACTTAGTAAAGTGGATTTATTTCATTTGTCGATACTTACCTAGTGAGGTATACGTAACTTCAATGACCCCCTTGTTTTTGTAAGTAACTTATACATATATCACCATACACCATTCTAGTTTTCTATTTTTGTACAACAATTAGTTCAGTACATTTTTTCGAAAACGAGACTGTCATATATTCACATTATTTTTTGAATCATCTATAAGAGTATCCATAATCAAGCTATTACGATGGCGTGATGATAAAATACAGAATGAAACAGAAGTAGCCGGATCGATAGTTTCTTTCATGATACCGACTTCCTAAAGGCAAGTATATAGGTTTTATAAATTAGAACTATTGACCAATCGACTAAGCATGTGTTTAAATATTAGTCTTAATTTATGTACCAAATGCTCAGTCAAAGGAGTATGACTATGGTTTACTTGTTGGTTAGAAAATGAATGATCAATAATAGAAATCAAGATAAATAAACAGTCCGTGATCACTCACTTCAAGTCTATCATAACGTTGACTACATCGAATCTCATCTGTAGACTTTGTTGAGTTCTTTAATTCAAATATTTGTCGTACAGTAGTTTTAAAAAGTTTGTTTAAATGATCAATTAGTGAATCCAACTCGTAATAACCATTCTACATTATTTATCACGCCATCATTTCATTTATCTTTTATTCACTTTGACGTAAGATATTTTCCAGATGTCATATTTAGTATTATAGTGGCTAAGATATCCTACTTTCAACCACTAACTAGGTCTCAGGCTCGAATCCCACCCCACTTCGGTTTGGGGAACCGAGTATAATCACTAGCCATTACATCAAGAATTTAGCTCGGAGCCGGGTACGCGAATCTGTACTTGATAAGTGAATCACATCATTTTGTCCTATCTTATCTTAAATTTTATCTTCACTCTATCTATGAGCACGGTTGGTACAGATCTGGTAAGCATTCATCTCTAGTGATTTTGAGACAACTTCATCATTATTTTGCTTTTGGAATGTGTAGTGCCCGATAATGACACTTCATAAGCAGAAATTATATAATTATTCTGCGTATACTCAATTAAGAACATAAAATTAATCAATCAGAATTTTCGAATGCATAGATCAAACTATCTACCAATAAGCTTGAATTATAACAAGTGCTGTAGACAGTTGCTTTTCTAGCCAAAAAAATAGATCCTAGGTATTTCGAAAAGTTAATGACTTCTTGAATGACCCACGTTATTACCTCTTAACTCTGACACTTGGAATCTGAAATCGGTTTACGTTTTTGTCTCTAAATTGTTGCCACACATTCTGCAATATATAATTGATATTTAGGAAGTTTCCTCAATTGTATTGTTATGTATCATATTTTTAATAAATAATCGTAAGTTATCACGTACACTAGCATAAATTTAGTAATTTTATTTTAAAATTGGCTTTGGACAATAACTAGAGTTTAGATTTTCGCATCGATGGCTGCATACCTAGTATAGTGCATAAAATTTTCGTACATCCAAAGCAATATTAAGTTGGGAGGTAGTGTTTTTAAATATATAATCTAAGTACAATGGTAGAAAGATCTACGTGTCAGTTATGATGACAATTTTTGGCATTATGCAAGACTAGATAAGTGTCTACGGACATTTATTGAGTTCAGCGATGACATTTCATGTGATTGACAGCTGGTTTTTATTGATTCTTGGTTTATGTATCAGCTAGGTCAACGAAGGTGATAAGATTGATGGTATTTCTAACTTTCTTTGTTAGTTATGTTGGCCCTATATTCATTAATCAGTGAGTGCTTCCTTTTGCAAATAGTACAGTTCTGTTGCTTCTATCCGAAATCAAACAGATAAGGTTAGTAGTTAATATTGGAGACGTAATTCTCTGCAAATTTTAATATTCTTCACGTCACGTTTTGTGGCTTGCTACTTGAAAACATTTATCAGCGAAACTAGTTTTTGACAATTTTTTGTCGTTTTGACTTCGGGAATTGCAGTGAACCTCCATTCACTGGTCAAAATATTATTGTAATCATTGTTAGTCATTATTCACTTAATACTAGGTTAAGAACTGTCTGTCAGAGTGAATTATGTTTATAAGGATTGTTTTATCATTTGTTGTCCACTTTCTTTGAATCACTCCATCAATTATTTTCTGTTTTACTGTTCTGTCTTCAAGTTAAAATATATTCGTTTTACCTACATTTTACTCAGAGCCCGAACTTACATCTATGAACGTCTTTCTCCCAATTACTCCCACCTTACATTTGAACGGTTAGAGAGAGAAAGTGCTACGGATATTTTATCTGGTTGCCCAACACTTGATGACCTTAATGTAAAGCTAAGCAAATTGGAGGACCACATTAATCATATTGTATTTCTTTACCGCCGGCAGCATTTCTATTGGGACGCTCTTGGTGAATTTCCGGAACCACCTCCTCCTCCTATCCAATTTCAATAAGTTTCTGCTTAATTTGAATTTAATACCTAGAATTCATAGTATGGTATTGTTGTTTGAGAAATAAATATATACAAACAATCACTCAGCATTAATGCAAAATTTTAAATTGCCTAATCAGTTTATTACAATGGGTGGTAATGTAGTTATAGAAATTTAAACTTGAACATAGACCAGTTAAATATTAGCGAAATAATTGTGACCAGTGTTTGGTAACGGAAACAAATCGGACGGTAAAAGCAATAGTGATACGTAACGTTTAGCAGTTTTGACTCATCGAAGTAACAGGCATAAGAGAGTTGGCTGTCAGTAAGATTATTTCAGAAAAAATGCAATTGAGGTCTCTTGTCAGCTCAATGGATGAGGATGACTGGCAAGTTACTTTTTGGTATAGCCTGACCTCCAGTTACTATTTCTAAATAACGGGGTCAAGGGAACGTCACAACCAATCTCCCGTAACTGTGAGGTATCGTGTTTGGCTGAGTCTCTTAATCAGATTTCAGGGTTTCCTAGAGATGGTGGTCCATCACCAGCTAGAGGCCATGAGCTGCACTGCGTCCTACCCAGTAGGTTATTGACTGAATTTGTAAAAACAATTGGTTAGAACCTTCTCATTATGACCACAAAGAGGTCAGACCGGTGTCTAGAATATGAGCTTCAGTGGACATCTTGAGCTGTCATTTAGAAAATTGAAGAAGCCCGGGAAAGTTTAGGATCTGGGAGTGGGTACACATAAGTGAAGCACGAAGGATTGATTGCTTCTAATCAGTCACTTGCAAAGAACGCAGGGTCCCTAGCACAATTGTCAAGTTACCACAACTGTTTTGTCATCTATATATAATACTCGACAGCTGACCTAAACAGCAATCGTGGCTTCGCAAAGCATCGGTGATCCACCATATATATATGACTTCATCTATACCAAGAACAGTCTGACTTAACGTTGTCGTGCTGGATAAAGAATTATTTTAAGAAAGCTAATTTTTATTTAACACTAGTCAGAGAAACTTTCTATATGGTTAGTCGTTTCACGTTGTAGTGAAATACCTTGTCTCAGTTGAATTTCGCCACAATTGAAAATTGTATGAGACAATTGAATTCACTCATATATTTTATTCACCACTATCTGGAAAGACTTCATATCAGTTGACCCAAGTTAATAAATTTAAACCACATTTAACAAACTAACATAATTGGATATTTGTGTAGTAAATGTTTGTCTCGTGACTTTGTTTATATTCAATAACTTTTGTTCTAATTATTACTTTAAATAAGTTCGGATCATATTGTCCAGTCGAATTTTGTGAATATGGTTTCATTTCCGATGTTTTCTAAACATCCGATCTCCAACTGTTATCAAACTTTGTTCAAATCTCGATAAGTCTTTATAAGTTTATTGGCTAGTTTAAACTGGTTGATTTCATAGTTGGATTTAGAATAGTAAAAATTTCGATTATAAGATAGGAAGTGGAAAGTTATTCAGGATTATTCACACCTTAGTCAGGTGAATGTCAGTGTCATGACTCATGAGATGATGTTCATTTTTATTATTAGCAATAGAATGACCGTAGCTGCTACCTTGACGTGGTGGCCAGGCTTACCTATCGTGATGACGCAACTGAGCTATATTAACTGGAATGTATGTTCCTGTAGGTTCTACCATGCCAGGCAGGTCTATTGGAGAACGGTAAGACTAAAAGCAGCAACTCAAGGTCTGAGGGCGAATTCGTACTGCTGACTGTAGAGGGGTGTGACAGAAGTAAGGTGTTTCCCTCGGACAACCAGCATCTGCAGCGATGCTGCCTTCTCACAAGGAAGGAAGGGGTTAGAAAAGGCCGGCCCTAAAAATGTCACATCTCACCTTATCTGACAGATCTCCGTCTCCGGTGGTAAGGCCCTTTGAAGAACGGAGCTAACACGTTAAAAACTTCACACACAAAAAGTCCGTGTGTGACCGACCTCAAGCAGTTGTCCCTTGGGTCCTAATCTACCTGCTTTTTCAGGTTCCTCGAAATATACTTTTCCACGGTGTGGGCAATAGGGAAGTGATATCAGCCCTCATACTCGTAACAGCACACAAGACGAAGTTGGTCGCAATCAAATCTTTCCTACACCTAATAACTCTCTTATCTCCACGACTAACCCTTCTCACCTCGCGCCGCTAATTCAAACGATTTGAGTACGCGGAACGTTATTCCCAGTCTCCTGAAACCACGCTGTTAACTACATGTAGGAGCTTTTAACGTCCGAACACTGTGCCAAATAGGACAACAGGCTGCCTTAGCTAGGACTTTAGAATCTCGCGCCATCGATGTGTGCTGCGTCTCCGAAACGCGCATACAGGATCCGAGTAGCGTCATTCATTTGATCTCACCAGATCAAAATAAAGAACCATCTTGATTCGCGCTCCGCGTGTTTGGAAGCCCTGATGCTGCTTCCCGTGGCCTCGCTGGTGGAGGTATAGCATTGAGTCCTAGGGCAAAACTAGCTCTGAGTTCTTAGGTAGAATTTGGGAACTGGACGTAATCCCATCTGAATGGTCTCAAACACTGATTGTGCCAGTCTATAAGAAAGGACAAGAGTTCTCTTGTGGCAATCACAGAGGAATCAGTTTGACTAACAGACACACGTTCAGACGCCCCACAATAGTAGTATTTCTCGACCTTAAGGCGGCATTCGACTCTGTCGATCGTGAGGTTCTATGGCAGTGTTTGTCACTGAAAGGAGTACCAAAAAAGTACATTACCTTATACAGGCTCTCTACCCGAACACAACTGGCCGAATGAGAGCTTATGGCAAACTGTTAACAGAATTGATTACCTCAAGTGGTGTTCGTCAGGGCTGTCCACTCGCTCCATTCTTGTTCAACTTTGTCGTTGACGTGCTTTCAGAGATAACGCTTTCCTCATCTAAAGTTCCAGGGGTTGAACTTCTACCGGGAGATTCACTTGTTGGCTTAAAATATGCCGTTGACATAGTTCTATTTGGTGAAGACGCTGACAAAACGCAAAGTCTTCTGACCACCGTAAGAAACAATGCAAACACGTTCGGGATGCGGTTCTCCCCCTCGAAATGCAAAATGTTACTTCAGGATTGGGTTGCATTGACACCCGAACTAATGATAGGGAGTGAAGTAGTTGAGTGTGTCGACTACTCCACTTGTCTTGGGAGTCACATCTGCCTTTGTGGTTTAGTGTGTGACGAAATCTCAGCACAGATACAGAAGGCTCGACTGGCTTTTACCAACTTGCGCCATTTATGGCGTAGGCGGTATATCCGTCTATCAACCAAAGGACGGGTTCACTGCGCAGCAGTGTGTTCCGTCCTACTTTATAGCTGTGAAACGTGGCCTGTAAGAGTCAGAGATATTCTTAGGTTACTAGTGTTCGATCATAGGTGTCTTCGAAGCACTGCCCGTATATCCTAGGACCACCGCGTAAGTAATGCGGTTGTTAGGAAACGGGTACTAGGTAAGGATGATATATCAACTGATGAAGTAGTGAAACTTCATCAGTTGAGATGGCTGAGACATGTGTTACGTATGCCCAACCACCGACTGCCCCGATGTGCGATGTTTTATGGTGTAGAAGTGGGTTGGAAGAAGGCTAGAGGCGGCCAGACCAAAACATGGCACAAATCCATGAAGTCACTGACAAGTGGGCTGATCTATGTTGGTAGGTGTAGACTACCTGGTTGGGATCCGCGAGACGATAGCAACCGATGGTTATAGACCTTGCATAACATGGCTCAAAACCGTTTGCAATGGCACAGGCGCATCCCCTCTTTCTATTCTTTCATATTCTATTTTTCTGAAGTATTTTTATTGTTCCCCAACTTCTTATATGTTTATATGTGTTGTGAAGGAACCATTTTGGGTCTATTCACAAACTGAATAATACACAAGTTTCTCTAATTTTAGTATTATATTTGCCATATTTGAAAAGAGGTTAATAATAGAATGATAATAAATGAGTTTCTGTTTAATTGAGAAGAATATTGAGTTGAGTTTGTTGAAGGAAAGGTAAAAAATAAGGGAATAGAAATAAAGGAGACCTGAAATATGCAAATAATTTAATAGGCGTGTTTATGAACTCAGAACAGGAATAAACGACTATCTATCTATCTTCAAAATTGTAACAGAAGTGAAGTAGAAAATAATTAACAAAAAAATAGCGTCTTATTGCAGTAAGATCTGACTCTAGAATAATTGTTTTTGCAGTCATTATTTTGGAGTGATGTTATGAAAGTCTTAATTAAATGAAAACGTTAACCAAACATCAGTATCTATTAGACACATATGTTACGGGAGAACGGAAGACATTTAGCGGAATAAAATCTTTTATTGTACATCAATAATTTACTGTTTTTGGATGTAATTGTTTTGCTTAACTTCTGAACTTGTTTGTTTATATCATTACTTCAGACATTTTGGTTTGTCTTTGGTTTGGTATTTGGGAGTTTTGCTCGGGGAACCTACAAAATTGAAGGTTTTGTAATTGTTATAATTATTGTTGTTAGAACGACATTTGGTCGACTATTTGTGAATTACGAATAAATTTGGTATCTAAATTGGAGCTTGGTTCTGTTGTCAATCTGGGTTCGTAATTTGCAAGTAGATAGATAGTTCGTACTTCAATAACTGGAACGAGCAAAACTTGGACGTAACAACATATGCATAGTGAAAATAAAACGAATCTGAGAAGTTAATTTAGGTGTGACACAAGATGTTGTCTTCATTAAAAACTTCGGAATCTTATGAATAATATTTATTTAGAAGGAAAATTCAGGGAGAAAATAAATGAACAGCTGGTGAAAGGGTTCAATCATGATAACAATAATAATAATAATTGTGTAATGAATACCAACCTCTGAAACGAACTAACAATTTCCAAAAATAATTTAGTGCACTCGGATAAATACATGTAAATTTATGTAATAGTATACAGAGTGAAACCAGAAATTAGTATAAACATTTGTGCAATAATAGTTAAGAATAATGCTAT